TAAAACATCACCTTAGTATTTCTTATTGACTACATGTAGATATTACAGATATTACTGTTTTTTTTTTTTGTTTTTTTTTTGAGAGAGAGAGAGAGAATCTTTTTTGTAGGCGGACACAACACAATGCCTTTTTTTTTTAATGTGGTGCTGAGAATTGAACCTGGGTCCCGCCCATGCTAGGCAAGCGCTCTAATGCTGAGCCACAATCCCAGCCCCACCTGTTTCTTTCTTTTTTTAAATTTTTTTTAGTTATACATGGGCACAATATCTTTATTTTGTTAATTTATTTTTATGTGGTGCTGAGGATCGAACCCAGGGTCTCACAAGTGCGAGGTGGGCGCTCTACTGCTGAGCCACAACTCCAGCCCCCACCTGTTCCTTTTTTAATGTGGCTACTATAAAATTTTAAATTACAGATATAATTCATTTTATTTGGGCAGTTCTATTCCAGAACATAAATCTTTAAGTATTTGTACATTTCTGAGGGATATTTATCTGAAACTGGATTCACCAGCTCCAAAGGGTAGATCACACACACACACACACACACACACACACACACACACATTCTCTCTCTCTCTCTCTCTAATTATGTTTTATTTTTATTAGTTTTATCAGTATAGGAAGACTATTGGGAAAAATAGTAGTCTCTTTCCCCCACACTACCATCCCCTTCCTTATAGTTGATGTCTTTCTTTTTCTTTTATATTTATTTTTTAGTTTTAGGTGGACACATATCTTTATTTTATTTTTATGTGGTGCTGAGGATCGAACCCAGCGCCCCACGCATGCCAGGTGAGCGCGGTACTGCTTGAGCCACATCCCCACCCCCAGCTGATGTCTTTCTTAATTATGTATCTTCAAATAACATACATTTTGATTTTTCATTTTTAAGCATTACATTCACAAGCATACCTTTTCCATCATTTTATTATCCCAATATAGTTTATTTTGACTAGATAATTCCAAAGTGTTCACATTATGACTATTAAAATCTATTTACAACTGAACTATGAAATACATCATGGTTATCTTTTCTTCTGTGCACTTCTTTTTTAAAATTAAAAAATATTTTTAATCGGGGCTGGGGATGTAGCTCAAGCGGTAGCGCGCTCTCCTGGCATGCATGCGGCCCAGGTTCGATCCTCAGCACCACATACAAAACAAAGATGTTGTGTCTGCCGAAAAACTAAAAAATAAATATTAAAATTCTCTCTCTCTCTCTCTTTAAAAAAAAATATTTTTAAGGGGCTGGGGTTGTAGTTCAGCGGTAGAGTGATCACCTAGCATGTGCGAGGCCCTGGGTTTGATCCTCAGCACCACATAAAAATAAATAAGTAAAATAAAGGTATTGTGTCCAACTACAACTAAAATATATATACATATATATATTTTAAAATTCATCTTTACTTAGCTTTTTATATATTAATTGCTAATCACTAATTTTACCCAAACTCTTATTGATTGTAGTGCTGAGGATCAAACCCAGGGTCTTGCACATGCTACACAAATGCTCTATCACTGAAGTATACCCCCAGCTCTCTTTTATTCATTTTAAATAGCTTCTTTCATGATATTATGACATACCAGTATCCTAGCCATTTTCACCCTTTTTAGTAAAAACTGTTCTCAAAGCCTCCTGACAACTTCTACTGGCATACAGTTGTCCCCCCAGGATCTCCTAACTTTACCATTACATTAGGAATTCCCTTTATACATCCTCTTGTAGCTTCACATGAAAAGGTTAATGAGAAGTAAAATGTTTGATAGCACAGATGTTTTAAAAGATCTTCATGAGGGGAAATGGTGGTACATGCTATAATTTCAGTGACTTAGAAGGCTAAGACAGGAGGATTACAAATTCAAAGCCAGCTCCAGCAACTCAGTAAGGTCCTAAGCAATTTAATGAGATCCTGTCTCAAAATAAAAAATAAAAAGATCTAGGAATGCAGCCCAGTGATAAAGAGCCACTGAGTTAAGTTCCCAGTACCAAAAGAGAAAAAACAAACAGGGCTGGGGTTGCAGCTCAGTGGCAGAGTGCTTTGCCTAGCATGTGTGAGGCACTGGGTTCGATCTTCAGCACCACATAAAAAAATAAAGGTATTGTGTCCATCTATAACTTAAAAAAAACAAAAATTAAAAAACAAAACAACAACAACAAAAAAACCCACAAACATCTTTATGCACCAGACTGACAGTTTAGTTGAGTATAGAATTTCTAGGTTGGAAATAATTTTCCCTCAGATTTTTGTAGGCATCATTCACTGCCTTGTAGCTTCTAGTACTGCTGTTCAGAGATTCAAAGCTATAGTAATTTCTGATCTTTCCTTTGCATATGATTTTTCTCTCTCTGGAAGCCTGAAGGATCTTCTCTTTATTTTCAGTGTTCTGAAATTTCACAATGATATACCTTGTGTGATTCTATTATCCATTATGCTGTGTTCTCAGTGGGTCCTTTTGACCTGAAAATAAATCTTTACTACTTCTAGGAATCATTTTGTTAACAATTTCCTCCCTTCACTTTCTCTGTTCTCTTTCTGAAATTTCTAAACTTAGAACTATATGTCCTAGGTTCTCCTCGAATCATTATCTACTTTTTTTCTCCTATTTTTCATCTCTCTTTCTCTGTTCTACTTTCTCAGAGACTTCTTCAACTTTATATTACAATTTAATGTGTTTTAAATTTTTGTTATATATTTTTTTAATTACCAAGAGCTCTCTTTTTCCATATATATATATATATATATATATATATATATATATATATATTTAAACAATGCTGCTGTTGTTTGCTTTAGTCTCTTTCTTATTAAAGGCTTTCTTTGGAAGTCTGATAACTCTTGATTATCTATCATTTTAAAAGTGGGGAGCTGCATACTAATTGGCACTATGAGAACATAGCTAGACTTGACATATATGAATTGTAGTATTGGATGATCTAGTTGGCCATTTCAGTGAGGAAACCTTGCTGTCAGTGTCCTTAGATTTTTCTTTAGGGTTGGTTAGTTTTTAGAGCACATTCTTTCAATCCCTTGCTGGAGGTAGGGGTACAGCTCAGTGATAGAGGGCTTTCCTAGCATGCAGGAAACCCTGGGTTTTTGATCCACAGCATCACAAAATGTAAAATCAATAAGTAAATGACAAAATTCTAAAAAAATATTTTGCCTGGAAGATACAAACCTCAATACCAGCTTTCTGAAGCATTAAAAGGAAGGCAGGCAGGAAGTATATATATTCATTTAATCTCCCTCTTCTCAGTACAGTACCTTGTCTTCAAAGGTATCTTGTATCCCTTAGTCCAGAGACCTTCTCTTTTGCTTTTTCTAAAGAATACATCCTTGGTTTATTTTTTAATTTTTTTAAGTTGTAAATGGACCTTTATTTTATTTATTTATATGCAGTGCTGAGAATCAAACCCGTGCCTCCCACATGCTAGACAAGTGCTCTACCACTGAGCCACCACTCCAGCCCCTAAATCTTTAATTTTTGCTGGAGAGAGAAGAGCATCTAGGGATACATGAGTTCTTAAACAATTTTTTTTAAAAAATATTTTTGTTAGTTGTTCATGGACCTTTATTTTATTTACTTATTTATATGTGATGCGGAAAATCAAACCCAGTGCCTCACACATGCTAGACTAGTGCTCTACCACTGAGCCACAACCCCAGTCCCCTTAAACAACTTTCGACCAATTTTTCTAACTATAGTACAACATCTCTACCCCCCATCCACTACAGACAGCCAATTCCTGAGTCTTTAGGGAATTTCCCAGTGTCAACAGGCTAATTTTCAGCAGTTCCCTCTACTGGCTGAGAATTCAATTTTCTTCATTTATTTTTATTTTTAAAATTTTATTCTTTTTACTTATGATACAACACCCTGACATAATCACAAACACATGTAACCAAACCCTCTCCAATTCAGTCCCTAGCACTTCTACCAGGATTCAATTTTCTTGGGACTCATAAATCATTTAAAAATTGCTCATCTGCTTTGCAACTTCCAATATGTTGTTGCCTTCTCTTCTGTGTTCTTCCATCTTTATATGGACTTATGCCTTTAAAAAAAATTACTTTACCATTGTTTCAGGAGAGGGTGAAAGGAAATAAGAACTATTTGTTCAATCTATCAATTTTACATAGAAATTCCTAGGACTTCTTTTCCTCAATGCCCACATGAGGTCTTAACAGGGCCAAAGGTGACTCCTAGCCTTCTGTGAAAAAGAAGATCTTTCAATGAATCACTCTTTGTAAAAGCATATCTAGAAGATCAAGACTATCCAGATGCACTTCTGTATGCAAAGGGTTCACTGTGTACCTTCACTGGTAATGTCACTTACCAGTATGCGAAAAATATTCAGATTAAGATTTTTTTAAAAAATAGTATATAAAAAGCTAAAAGATGCAAGATGTTCTTGGTATTAAATGGGGAAAAGACTCTCAACCTAGCCAAAAAGAAATCAAAAGTAATTTTCTAAGACCACACATATATCAGGGAGAAAAGGGGAAAAAATCCAACATCCTGGGTACCTACTCCAAACCAAGTGACTTATGCCAATCAGCATTCTCAGCTTATCATGTGCTAAAAGCACATATCATCATGGAATGAGCTACACATGCAGTCCTTTGGTCCTCTATCCAAAGAGTACTTATGTTATATGTCGGGTCTTTACGGTTCACAGACTTGACATGAACACAATACTATTTTGATGTTATTTCTATAGTTTATCATGAATGGATCAGGTTGTCGGACTAGGTTATCTCAGTATCAGAAATCAAATAGATATTTCTTAGTCAATAACAACAAGAAGCAATTATCTCAACAAGTGACTCTTGATTCAAAAACGACACCCAGACAAAAAACAGCACCCAGATATTAAGTTAACTATAGAAGCAGCTCACACTTGCTCTAAAGTGTCCATTTTAAAGGAACCCAAGTTTCAGAAGCAAGCCAACATTCTACCAGCCAAGCTGGGAAAGGCAATAAAGGCAGTTAAGTACCTGCACTGATCCCCCATGGCGGTCTGCAGCCAAGTGAGACGTCAGGTATGAGGTATTGGTCTGCCGGCTGGGCTGGATTTCCCACTCTCCTCGGCGCTCTGAAGATGCAGTCTGCTCAGGCATTAGGAAGCATGTCAGCAAGATATGGAAGGAAAGGTGAAGCAACAGCAAGCATAAACAAAATCAAGTACATTAGTGCCCCTGAAGGTTTTGTGTTTGGATTGGATTTTAAACTAACCACTGCCGCAAAGCACTGAGAAAAAGTTAGCATGGCTACATTCATCTCAGCCTGATGAGCCAATACACGAGACTATAGCACACCATCCTCATCCAGACACACAAAAACCAGTAATGACCAAAAGCAGGAGGCAAAGGGGAACATTCAAAGCTGGAATCACCTTTTCACTTCCACATTAGTAAAATTTCAGTAGCCACTGAGCAGACCAAATTCAGAATTTTAAGATTGTTGAACAAAGGAATATTCATATTTACAAATCATTTCACTGATTAAAGATCTGAACAGATAGTAGTAAATAAAGAAAATCCCTGGATTAGGAATCAAGAATAATATGCCTTTCCCTTAAATAAGGAATCTACTACTCTCAACATTAACCTCCATGAGACTTTCTACTAAGATAAAAGGAGCAGTGGCAGGAATATGCTTTCTTATCTAAAAGAATGAACAAATTATCTTTTCAAAAACAGATTCATATGTCAAGAATAAATGATGGGGAGATAAAAAGTCTTGATTGTTTTCTGGTTCCTCTAGTTAACAGCCTCTAGTTCGAAATTAGAAAAAGTTTACATGAAAACTATGAATTATTTTCTCCTAGAAAGCAAAAGGCAGATCTTTTCTCTTCAAAAGGAAGGCCTCCAGTTAAAAACCTCTTTGGATTCTGCTTTCACCTTTGCTGTCATTCAGGCTCTCTTCATTCCTTCTTTACCTGTTTTTTAGATTTCATACTATTCTGATCTTGCTCATATGTGACTTTTGTTCTGAAGAATCTGTTTAGGTGCCTCTTCCCCTGTGCCAGATGGCTGAGGAGGTGTTAACATCATCATGCTCAGCTGTAACAATCCTAAGGCTCTACAAAAATGAAAAATGAGTAGTTGGAGAGGCAGCAAAGAGAGATTAATAAATCAAATTTTAATTGCTGCTGATATAAACAACAGCAGGGGCTGGGATATGATACTGCTTCTCTGTATGAAAACCAGTAAGGATCCTATAAATCTTAAAAATGTTTGTAACTATAATATATTCTAAAGAAAAGGAAGAGTAAGAAAGCAATGATTTGAGGCTTTTTATTCGCGCTTCTGCTGCAGGACTTCACTGAGGAGAGTTGCTTAAAGCTCATCCATAAGTCAATTAAAAGGCATTTCCTATAACGCAGCTACAACTTACTCATCGTTATTAATGAAAATGAAGTAATGTGGGTAGTAGCACTATAGAGGATCCTAGTCATGTTTTCTCTGATATTCCTTGGAGAATGAGCAGATAGTCTTAAGATGGTGGCTGGTATTAATTTGCTTGCTATATAATCTTACAGAAGAGGAGTTTGGTTTTATACTGCTATTCTCTTATTAGAGAGAATAAAAAATACCCTAAATGTCACTCTCCCATTCTTTTTTCTTCTTTCTTTCTTTTTTTCTTTGTAGTAATGGGATTGGAAGTCAGAGGCATTTTAACACTACACTACATCTCCCCTACACTTAACTCCCCTTTTTTAAAAGTTTTGAGGCAGGGTCTTGCCAAATTGCCCAGGCTAGGTTGGAACTTGTGATTTTCCTGCCGGAGCCTCTTTTTTTTTTTTAATTTTTAATATTTATTTTTTAGTTATCGGCGGGCACAACATCTTTGTTTGTATGTGGTGCTGAGGATCGAACCCGGGCCGCACACATGCCAGGCGAGCCTGCTACCGCTTGAGCCACATCCCCAGCCCCCTGCCGGAGCCTCTTGAGTAGCTGCAATTACAGGTGTGGGCCAACATGACCATCTTACCTTCATTTTTTCTGCCAAAAGACATTCAGGTATTTATCTTCCAAAATAAGATGGTGTATATGACATAATCATACTATTATATAAATTTACTGATGGTGTCTATATTCTTATAGCACTTAATTTATTCTGACTACCACTAAAGATCCAAGAACACACCCATTCTTTTTAATATTAGAAGTAATATCTATAACTAATATCTATTAGATTCTCTGGGACTTTTTTGTGTGTAATATTTAAGTAGAATATTTAAGCTTCTACACTATTACACAATGCTGTCAGTTCTCCAATTCTTTTAAAATGATCAAAAAAATCCATACAAGTCACTTAGTATTGTTTTGAGTTTTATGATATATATTCAATTTAATTACTACCTTCTCATGATTATACTCTGTTTTTTGCATATTTTTAAGGGTAGATAATATTAAAAACTGCTGAGAATGTACACTCATACACATTCTGTGAGTGTGTGTGTTTGTGTGTGTGGTGGGGAATGAACTCAGGGCCTGGTGCAAGCTAAGCAGGTACTCTACCACTGAGTCATACCCACAGACATCATATGCTTTTAAGGTTAAGAAAGCCCTGAGAGCTAATCACTTATTATTTCTATTTTTATTTAAATATGTATCAGAACTCTGGTTTGATAATACTGTCTGATTCACAGGATTATGTACTAGTTCATATTAATTCTGGCTAAATAATTTCTTGGAAGAATTAAGATTTTTGTTTAAATGAAATAGCAAGACATTTTTCAAAGACTAAGAGTCACATTCCACCTCCATTCTCAAAGCAATATGCATTTACCTTTTAAAGACAGAAAAAAATTAACATTCCTGATTCCTTCATAAATACTTCCATTGTAACCAAGCAAAGACATGACTCATACCACAGCCCTCCAGTGCCTTTTATGTCCACTGAAAGCAATATCACCAAGTGATAGAGTTGAATTTAGGGGATGTTTTATGGCTTTGGAAAATACTTTTCATTAAAATGCTAAGTTTAGGGCAATTCACTTCTGGAATTTAAAGGCTGAGACTGGTACCTAAAGACCAATGTAGTAAAATGGGCTGTTCATCAGTTTTACAAAGTAGCTGAATGCATAGAAGTCAGATGAAACCAAAGATGCTGACAACTACATTTTCTGCTAGTGTAACTAACTTCCTCTGCAAAGTATTCTAGGCAACACTGTGTACACAGGATCTATAATTAGGCATGATCAGCACAGTAGCTTGTTAGACAAGCAAGCCAGTGGAGATCAACATGTAACCACTTAATTCTTAAATCTCTCACACACACCACACACCCCTATCTAAACGGCAATCAAGAGGCTCACAGGTAGAGGAGTCATTCAGCAAGATCAATTTCTCTGCATTACTTGAAAGACAGAGGTCCACATGGAGAGTTTTAAGTCCCCAAAGGCAGAAGCAGGAATCTCAAGAAGTGGTACCTCCCTGGGGAAACGCTTTAAAATCTTCAGTTGTGATTGCATTACCTGTGTAAAAATGCTTGGTGTACTGTGCAGTAAGTAATGTAGAAAAAAGAAAGCTGCAATCCAACATAGAATGTATCACAGGCAAAACTAACAAAAAGCACCTAGGAAAAAATATATAAGACTGGTGAAAAGGTGAAAACCACCACCCGTGCCTAGAGCAAAAGAGGTGATGGAGACTATCCTTGCGGTCCATTTGGCAGGGATTAACTGACACTAACAACAGGGTGGGAAACACCGTCTGAAAACGTCTCAGCTATCACCCCTATCTGTGTCTTGAAAATTATTTCAGAATTCTATTGGAAATAAAGCTACTGTTCTGACAGAAGACAAACATCTTGCTCTTGAGGCAAATAAATTACCAAATCCTATTCTTCATATAAAGTTAATTTTGAAAAATTGATTGATTGATTGATTACATTAACAAAGAACTTTACCCATTTCATTTTATGGCTCCAAAATTTTTTAAAAGTTGCCATCTACAAAAAACATTTCATGTCAGTCTTATTAGCTTTATTAACTGTCTTCAACTATGAGAAAAATAGAGATTGAATAGTACCAAAAGATTAACAAAGAATATACTAGACCATATTTTATTTTATCACACTTTCAAGATAAATAATTTTTCTTTCTTTCTCTTCTTAGTGCAAATAAGTAAAAGGCAGAAAGTATGGGGCAAGCATTTTAAGAAATTTGGGGTGGGGTATAGAAGACTTTGACAAGCCAGGGAGAGTGGTACACGCCTATAATCCCCACTACTTGGGAAACTGAGGCAAGACAATGGCAAGGTTGAGTCAGTCTCAACAAGTTATCTCAAAAAATAAAAAGAGCTGGGGATGCTGAGACAGGAAGATCACAATTTGAGGTAAGCCTCAGCAACTTAGAAAGACTCTCAGCAATTTGTCTCACCAAAAACAAAGAAGATCTGGGGGGACTAGGGTTGTGGCTCAGCAGTAGAGTGCCTACCTAGCACATGTGAGGCATTGGGTTCAAGCCTTAGCACCACATATAAATAAATAAAATAAAGGTATTGGGTCCACCTATAACTAAAAAAAATTTTGAAAAATTAAAAAAAAAAAAAAAAAAAGACCTGGGAATGTAGCAGTGGTCAATTGCCCCTGGGTTAAACCCCCAGATCTGAAAAAAATGAAAATTAAAAACAAGACCTTAACAAGTGTAGAACAAAAACAATAAAAAAGTGTCAATAAGAAAGGTTATTGAAATGTATATTTCAACAAAGCTAAAAACTTCCTTCTATTAAGGTAATGAAATAGAACCAATTTCCTTGTGCCAAACAAGGGTTACTCCAGGCAATTCCATCATTTGTGCCAACAACGACTTCTTGTATTCTACATACAAACTTGATCAAATATGAGAGATATTTTAAAAATCACTGACAACACAAACAACCTGGAAGAGATTACATCAAGGATCAATATTATATATGTCCATGGAAAATTAGAAGTATAGATTCTGTAAAACTCTTAGAAAAAAAAATCACATGAAGCATTCTAGAAGTTTGCAACTTGAGCTGGGTACCTAGGCATATGCCAGCATTCCCAGCTACTAAGAAGTCTGTGAACATAGTCAGACTCCCAACTCTAAAAAGTGAGTAAATTAAAAAAT